GACGAATCGATGCTCCATGTTCTTAGAAGCATTAGGTATGACCTAATGGCCGCTGAAGCAAAATACCACAAGAATTGCTATTCACTGTATCTTCTTAAAAAAGATGCAAAGACTGAAGACCATGACTCTATGTATGAAGTTTCATTTCAGGAGTTTGCAGTCGAGATAACACGTGGTATCCGGGAAGGAAAAGCTTACGACATTGCATCTCTTCTCTCCATGTATCAAGACATCCTAACGACTAAAGGTGTCAATGGAAGTAGTTACACTAAGCAGCATCTAAAAGCAAGACTTCAAAAGCATTTTGGAGACAAGTTGGTTTTTCACCCCCCGACTGCTCGTAACAAACCAGAACTTGTTTATGGCAGCACTATTATAGTGCAGGATATATTGAATGATTGGGCTGAATTGCAGCGTCAAAAGGATGAACAGTGCATAGAGACTGAGATATTTCGAGTGGCAAAACACATCAAGAAGAAAATATCAGAAGTAAGAGGAATTTCAACAAAACCCCTCAACGTCAGTGATRTTGGTCTTGCATCCACGCAGCGCATAATTCCCGTCTCCCTGCACTTGCTTCTGCGTCTTCTGGTAACATCYGACATTACCAAAGAGACTCAGCTTTCAGGTTGTGATACAGAGTGTAATAACGCCAATGATGAAAGACAGGTTTTAAGCATTGCCCAGGATGTCATTTACTGCTGCAGTAAAAGTAGGGTGAAACTGCCAAAACAAGTCTGTCTTGCTATGTGTGTTCACCATCTTACAGCATCCAAGGGCCTGATAACCCTCCTTAATAGGATGGGCCATTGCTGCTCGTATGACGATTTCAGAGCAGTAGACACTAGCATTGCCATGGAGGTGTTAGCTAAGGCGCATGAATATGGCACGGTAGTACCCACCAATATATCACCAGGCTTATTTGTGCAGCTGGCTGCAGATAACAGTGACATTAACGAGGAGACGCTTGATGGTAAGAATACCACGCATGCGACTACAATGGTTGTGTATCAGAAAAAGCAGTTCGGACCCGAGCTGCCCTCCACACGTCTTGCCCAACACGAAACAAGACAAAGATCGCATCAGACAGACGAAAGCGTGGTTACTCTAGAAGAATGCTCGGTGCACGGCAAGAGACCAACTGTCGCTGAGTACGTTGGCAAAGTTGACAAGGAGTGGTTCACCGAAGAGAGTGAAGCATTTAACTGTGCAACATCAAATGATGTTACATGGAAAGTATTAAGGTTAAACGACAGATGTCTATCCCAAGATGTAATCGTAGAAGCATGTGAGAATCAGTCCATCCCAAGTTGGAGCGGTTTCAACTCCATTCTCTTCCCCGATATTCCATGTACTAATAACATTGGCTATTGTCCTTTGATAGAAGGATCATCTACCGATTTCAGTACCATCTACACTGTCCTAAAGCATGCTCAGGCAATTAGCGCTAGCGTTGGACAGGCAGATACTGTTATAACTTTCGACTTGGCGATCTACATAAAAGCCAAGCAGCTACAATGGAGGTTCTCAGATGAATTCTCAGATGTCGTAATTCGTGTCGGTGGTTTTCATATAGCCTTAAACTTTCTGTCGCTAATGGGCAAGAAATATGCCAGCTCGGGGTTAGATGATCTCCTTGTTGARTCTGGCGTTTTTGGAGCTGGCGCAGCATCGGCATTAATGAAGGGAAAAGMCTATAATCGTGGAGTAAGAGCCCACAAGCTTACTATGGAAGCATTCTTCYGCTTAATGTGGCGAGCTTTCCTTGAATGGTGCCAAACTAACGACAATGAAGYGATTGGCCGTCAAAGAAACCATCTTTTTCAGAAGATACAAGAGTCAATCACGGTAGTGGAGAAGAAAGAAAAGGTGAGCAAGAGCATCCATAAGCTAGAAACAGACTTAACCGAGGTTACCGAGCTGTTTAAAGAATACAAGAAGACAAGGAGCACTGAATCGAAGATGTTTGCATTCTG